AGATAAAATCACAAACTGGGGCTCAGCGTATCTGCCTGTCTTTTTTGCAATTCATTGTACGTTACTTGAATACAGACAGTTACTACTGTTTCCAACTTATGTTTGATAGCAAGGATGAGAAAGCTTTTATAATCCCTACTGTTACTACTTTTCCTGATCTGCTTCTGCAGTCTCTTTCAGTGGCTATCTGTTAGGTCTATATTTTGATCTTTTTGTAATTTTCCGGTTTCTTTTTTTTCTACTTCCCAAACCTAAACACCCAGCATATTGACATGTTGGCCTCCACTTTACTGATTCAGCATTTCTAGGTACATTGAGAGTGCTAAAGAGTAGCAAAAAGGAACAATAGTACAGTACTAGACTCAACTGTAGTATTCCTTCCCTACTGAAGGGTAAAAGAGTCCATTTGATCATTTCACCTGGCATAGGTAGGGTTGCATACATCTCTTCTTTTTTGGATCCCCTACTCGGTCACCAATGGTATTTTAATACACAACCCCACCATTTTTGTTTGAGAAAATATATTTGTTATATATTGTTGCTATAGCCTGGACAATATGAAGAAATGGTATTAGCAGTGGCAGAAAACACTTGAATAAGAATGCGGAAAGCTTTGTAGTTATGAAGAAACACAGAAGGCTCTTGCAGACAGTTTTAACCATGTACACGAGCCTACCCTGACTGCCAGCTATGGGAAACCGCAAATCGCAGTGGTACCGTGACGGTACCGTGATTTAGCCATGGTTGGTGCGATTTCCCGTGGTCGGTGGTCAAAAAATTCCTATCCTGAATGTGATTCTTCCGTGTTCAGGAGAGGGAGGTTTAACCTCACCTAAATGCAGCAGCTCCTAAACACTGCTAAAAGCCTATGTGTACATGGACACACAGGCTTTTATGGAGCTGAGTTTAGGAACTTTGGCCAAAAAAATGCCAAAAGCTCCTAAACTTTGAGTTTAAGAGCTGCTCGTGTACATGTAGCTTAACACACTTCTTATACTACCGGGGCAGATCCTATCTCAGTCTGTTCACGCTTCCTTTCTGTTCCATATTACACTATTACACTAGGCTTTTACATCAGAATATCCATCTCATCTTCCTTGTTGATTCACTTTTGCACAATTTGATTTTGTGTGTAGCACCACTAGTCAACAGCCAATGAAGCCTACCACTCACTTGGACATAGTGGCTTACCTGGTGGATTCCAGCATGCTCATTCACTTTCAATAACAAATCTGAGAAATAAACATTGCTTTGAATTTATGCACTGTATATCAGTCAAACCTCAATCATCTGCACAAAGCATATTGTGAATAAGATTTCATCTATGACAATAGACACTACTCAACATATAAGTTTAACCAAAACAAAAATGAATTAATGTGGCACCAATTGAAAGTGATAGAGTTGATATATTAACCAACCTAGGAGGTTTTTACAGCTGCCCCTAAAAAGTGAATGTGACACTTGTAAGTGGATTAGTAGTGAATAGATAGGTGCTGTACTTTAAATAAAATATATATGCACCCTATAAACCCAATAGGATAAACTGAATAATGAGTATTGTGAATGAATGTCAATAATTGGATTTCAAACAATTCATAAACCAAACAATACACAAAATAAAAGTAGCTAGATAATCCTTATTTTATAAAACGTTGTTATGCTTTCACCATGTGCTGAATTAATTCAAATTGTGACAGTCCTTCTTAGACCTCAAAATTGCTGACATAAAAATCCATGTGTCCACACCTCAGTGCAAAGGCAAATGAATGGATCACTCACCAGACCTATATGAGCCCATTACAGTGATCATATATCGCATTGTGTCTTTCATTGTTCTGATTCCTTTCAAGTGTTATGGCATAAACCGCAAGGATTATCTGTCCCAGTCCCTCCAAATATCATTTGGGGAATTTATTGGAAAATATACATCAGTCCTCTTGGCTATCTAACCATGAAGTGTGGGTGATGGTGACCATACTTGGAGGAACCTCTAGAGATTATCATGGTCTATAAAACACAATGTGATATATGATCACTGTAATGGGGTCATATAGGTCTGGTGAGTAATCCATTTGTTTGTCTTTGCATGGAAGTGTGGACACATGGATTTTTATGTCACCAATTTTGAGGTCTTCCTAGCAGCCCACATCTGGTGCAACCTAATTACTCAGACAGCCAAGCTGCTGAGAGACACCTGCTGGTGACCACCAGAACTGTGCCTTTTGACTCCAGGAACCACACTGCCAGCAGCTTTGACCAAGGTGATGACAAGTTGTGACAATCTGTCCCCCCCCCCCCCACACACACACACACACACCTTGAGGAGCAGCCTCCGGATGCTCCATTCTGCCTTTAACCAAAAAGTCCATGTGGGTGCAGGATAAGTCCAAGAAGGTTTCCTTACTGTGTCCAAAGACTCTCAAACTCTTCAGGCCCAAGTCTTTCAACCCTCTGGATGGTGTTCCACCCAAGTCTAGGAGCTGGTTATGCGCCCCGCTGTTAGGGTCTGGAAGCTAACTGGTTACCACACACCGCTAGGGTCTGAAAACTGTCTGGGTTCCCCACAGGTCAGATCCCTAAAGAGGCACAACATCTAAAACTTTCCCATCCAAAATGCAGCATATGTCCCAACGCTGGAACCCCAAAGGCCGGCTGAAGGCCTAATGCCAGTATTTCTGGTCCATACAGTTACCCTGATGAGTGTCCCACAGTGAAGGGACCTTCAATATCTTGGTTGCCAGAAACTGCTCTACACTCATACAGCCACGCAGGTCTTCCCAAGGCATTGGTCACACAGCAAGGGTTACTTAATGCACCTGGGATTTTCGAGGTATCACCTAGGTCAGGTCAATACTCAGATGGAACTCTGCCCTTTCCAAGAAGGCCTCTATTACTGGGACTGAACAAGAGAATGCAGCTCTTACTTTCAAAGTGGGTCTCCGGACTATAAGGCCTTGGCACAACAGAAACAAATGGCTGCAATTGGGATCTTAGGCAGGCTGGGCGGCGGCCAGCACAAAAGCGTCAGAGGCAGGCTGGGCGGCCAGCACAGGAGCGTCAGAGGCAGGCTGGGCGGCCAGCACAAAAGCGTCAGAGGCAGGCTGGGCGGCCAGCACAGGAGCGCCAGAGGCAGACTGGGCGGCCAGCACAGGAGCGTCAGTGGCAGGCTGGGCGGCCAGCACAGGAGCATCAGAGGCAGCCTGGGCGGACAGCACAGGAGCACCAGAGGCAGTCTGGGCTGCCAGCACAGAAGCACCAGAGGCAGTCTGGGCGGCAAGCACAGGAGCATCAGAGGCAGTCTGGGTGGCCAGCACAGAAGCATCAGAGGCAGTCTGGGCAGCCAGCACAGGAGCACCAGAGGCAGGCTGGGTGGCGAGCACAGGAGCATCAGAGGCAGCCTGGGCGGACAGCACAGGAGCACCAGAGGCAGTCTGGGCTGCCAGCACAGAAGCACCAGAGGCAGTCTGGGCGGCAAGCACAGGAGCATCAGAGGCAGTCTGGGTGGCCAGCACAGGAGCATCAGAGGCAGTCTGGGCAGCCAGCACAGGAACACCAGAGGCAGGCTGGGTGGCGAGCACAGGAGCATCAGAGGCAGGGTGGGCGGCGAGCACTAAAGTGTCAAAGGCAGGCTGGATAAGAACACAGGAGTGTCAGAAGCAGGCTGGGCGGCGAGCACAGGAGCGTCAGAGGCAGGTTGGGTAGCCAGCACAGGAGCATCAGAGACAGGCTGGGCGGCCAGGACAGGAGCATCAGAGACAGGCTGGGCGGGGAGCACAGGAGCATCAGTGGCAGGCTGGGCAGCAGACAGAGGACCATCAGGCTGGGCAGCAGACAGAGGACCATCAGGCAAGGTCAGGCCTAAGATAGGAAACGAGGAGCAGGGAGCAAAGTACTGGGAGAGCTGGGTACAGGAAGCAGGTCACAGGGTCAGGTGCAGCAACAGGGCTCAAGAACAAAGATCAGGCTCAGACACAGACATGACTTGCAGGAGGAATACCGAAGCACTGAACCTCAGTTATGGGTAGGCTTATATACTTCCCAGCAGCCCACATCTGGTGCAGCCTAATTACTTGTACAGCCCAGCTGCTGGGAGACACCCACTGGCGACCACTGGCACTGCGCCCTTTGACTCCGGGAACCATGCTGCTATCAGCATTTGACCCAGGTGAGGACACAAGTCCTGGCAGGTATGTTTTAATATGTATAATTTTATTTAATGCTTTTTCTAAAACTAATTGTTATCAACAGCTCGCTGATCATACCAGTGTTCCGTCAGCTGTAGATGTGAACATTATTTCCCAAGGTAAGAATGTTCAGAAACATTGGTGTAGGTTAAACCATGGAAATAAACAAAACAAAGGACCTCTCATAGTGTTTATTATTTATTAATAAAAGACCTATATGTAAAAGCTTCCATTGCACTCCTATAAAAACCCATAGTAATGAGCCTGTAATATTACCAAGCATTGGGAACGTCGCTTTGCATTTCACAATGTGTTCCAGGCAAAGCGGAAATGACTTGTCAGAAGTCCCACCTAGCACATTTCGTTACAAGCGTGCAATGTCTTCAGGATCTCAGGAGCCCAGCACTCATCTCATCTTATATAAACACTTGACTCCGCCTACTACACCCATTTACACATTGATCATTAAATCAACTTTATAGTACATGCCCAATAATTCTTACAGCAATACCAATTCAAATATATTACAATAAAAAAATAAATGCTGGATAAAAAGTAAAATAAACTTTAAACAGCCGCTTCCCAACCGCCCTATAGCAGAACTACTGCTATATATACGTGACTTTGTAGTTCCAGGTATTTAGCAGCTACAGATGTCAATCACCAGGTCCCGGATTCCCTGCTGGCACCCAGCGATCTCCAAGTATCACTGACAGGGAGGAGGTCTCTATGTAAACACACAGATCTCTCCCCTGTCAGCTCCAGCACGCTGCGTTGTATTGCTGCATACCAGAGCAATACAAAGCAGCGTACTACACGGTAAAGCACAGCACACAATTAACCCTTTGATCGCCCCAGATGTTAACCCCTTCCTGCCCAGTGTCATTTGTACAGTGTCAATGCTTTATTAGCACTGCTCACTGTATTAGTGTCACTGGGGATATCAGTGGCAATTAGTCAGTTCCCCCCCAGTGTCAAAATGCCCGCCGTAGTCCCACAGTCCCGCTATAAGTCGCTGATGTGGCCATCATTACCAAACAAAAAAAACTCCAGTATATATGCCCACATTTGTAGATGCTATAACTTTCACGTAAACCAATTAATTTACACATATTTGGATTTTTTTTAGCAGACATGTAGCTGAATACATTTTGGCCTAAATTTATGATGAAATTTGATTTTTAAAATTTTTGTACTGGGTATGTTTTATTGCAAAAAGTTAAAAGTATTGGGATTTTTTTCAAAATTGTCAGTCTTTGTTTATAGCGCAAAAAAATACAGAGATGATCAAATACCACCAAAAGAAAGCTTCATTTGTGGGGAAAAAAGGACATGAATTTCATTTAGGTGCAACTTGCATGACCGTGCAATTGTCAGTTAAAGTAATGCAGCGCCGTATCGCAAAAAAATGGCCTGATCAGGAGGGGGGGAGTAAATCTTCTGGAGGGCTAGTGGTTAATGTATGCTAGTGGCATACAGATAGCTGTACCATCTTGTGGTCTCTTTATATATTGCATTAAAAACTTATACTGTATATGAATTAGATTAAATAGCACTGCTGAAAGTTATATGTTGATATACACCAACGCTGTCCATGTCCATCCCATGGCCTATTTATACATTGCATGACGGATATACTATATCTGTGCTATTGCCACATTCAGAACAATAAATTAAATTGAAAAAATTCAGATAAAATACATTTTCCCCTCCAATGTCCATCAACCTTATCAATTCCAAAAAAAGTGAGCAAACTAGAGTCCTTGTTATTGTACACTCTAAAGTGATTGGACACGCTATGATTGTGGAAACCCTTTTTTATGCTACTAATATACGTTTACCCAATCTCACACAAAAAATTTCTCGTGGTGCGTCCCATATACTGAAGCCCACACAGATATGTGACAAAGTATGTGACACATTTACTATGTCAGGTAATGAATTTGTCAATCTTAAATTATTGTTGTATGACAGACTTAAAATGATCTCTCTTTCTACTCCAAGTGTTGACTGTTCTACATGCAATGCATCTTCTACATGCACAAAAGTCAACCTGGTCCAGGAAAGTGACCAGCTTCTTAGGGGAGTCAGGATCATTATGTACCCATTTATTTCTAATACTGGGGGCCCTTCTATAGATAAATTTGGGCTTTTTTAGGTAATACCTTGACTACTGTTCAATCCCTTAGCAAAATGGGCCAATGCTTTTTGATAATGCTCTCAAATGTTTTATATTATTGATTTTAATATGACCAAAATTATTATTTTCTTTGTGTTTATCTTTGAGCAAATCCTCCCTATTCATGGTTCTTAATTGTTGTTTAATCCCTTGTAGCTCTTTAGGTTTATATCCCTTATCGTTAAACCGTATCAAAAGGTCTGCTGATCATAATATTCAATCCTTCCACAAATTCTCCTGATTCAGTCACCTATTTGGTAATGTCCCTATCCATTTAGGGTGATGACAGCTGAATTTGGGAATGTAACCGTTCCTGCCGGTCTCTTTAAAGTAGGTCTGGGTGTTTAACTTCTTTCCCTATTTGGATACTACAAGGTCTAAGAAGTTGACATGCTCCTTATCCCAGTTACCTGTGAAGGAGACACGATATCTTTTCCTATGGAAAGTAGATAAAAAGGTTTGCAATGTTTCCTCCAATCCTTTCCATAATATAATCAACAAATCTTTTATATAAAGCAAGTTCTGGACAAGGCTTGCATTATCTCCTTTTCCCATTTGCCAAAAGTAATTTAGAACAGTTTATTTCATTTTGGACATTTTGTTTTGGATTTTTTTAAATTATTATTTCAAGAGCTTGGGTTATGCATGCCTATTATTGATTTACCAGCACTGTCTTTTTTTATATACTGTATATACAGAGGGACAAAAAAGTATTTAGTCAGCCACCAATTGTGCAAGTTCTGCCACTTAAAAAGATGAGAGAGGCCTGTAATTGGCATCATAGGTAGACCTAAACTATGAGAGACAAAATGAGAAAAAAAATCCAGACGATCACATTGGCTGATTTGGAAAGAATGTATTTGCAAATTATGGTGGAAAATAAGTATTTGGTCACCTACAAACAAGCAAGATTTCTGGCTCTCACAGACTTGTACCTTCTTCTTTAAGAGGCTCCTCTGTCCTGCACTCATTACCTGTATCAATGGCACCTGTTTGAACTTGTTATCAGTATAAAAGACACCTGTCCACAACCTCAAACAGTCACACTCCAAACTCCACTATGGTGAAGACCAAAGAGCTGTCGAAGGACACCATAAACAAACTTGTAGACCTGCACCAGGCTGGGAAGACTGAATCTGCAATAGGCAAGCAGCTTGGTGTGAACAAATCAACTGTGGGAGCAATAATTAGAAAATGGAAGACATACAAGACCACTGATAATCTCCCTCGATCTGGGGCTCCACACAAGATCTCACCCCGTGTGGTCAAAATGATCACAAGAACGGTGAGCAAGAAAAACACGGGGGGACCTAGTGAATGACCTGCAGAGAGCTAGGACCAACGTAACAAAGGCTACCATCCGTAACACACTACGCCGCCAGGGACTCAGATCCTGCAGTGCCAGACATGTCCCCCTGCTTAAGCCAGTACATGTCCGGGTCCATCTGAAGTTTGCTAGAGAGCATTTGGATGATCCAGAAAAGGATTGGGAGAATGTCATATGGTCAGATGAAACCAAAATAGAACTGTTTGGTAGAAACACAACTCGTTGTGTTTGGAGGAGAGAGAATGCTGAGTTATATCCAAAGAACACCATACCTACTGTGAAGCATGGGGGTGGCAACATCATGCTTTGGGGCTGTTTCTACGCAAAGGGACCAGGACGACTGATCCATGTACAGGACAGAATGAATGGGGCCATGTATCGTGAGATTTTGAATGCAAACCTCCTTCCATCAGCAAGGGCATTGAAGATGAAACATGGCTGGGTCTTCCAACATGACAATGATCCCAAACATACCGCCCGGGCAACGAAGGAGTGGCTTCGTAAGAAGCATTTCAAGGTCCTGGGGTGGCCTAGCCAGTCTCCAGATCTCAACCCCATAGAAAACTTTTGGAGGGAGTTGAAAGTCTGTGTTGCCCAGCGACAGCCCCAAAACATCACTGCTCTAGAGGAGATCTGCATGGAGGAATGGGCCAACATACCAGCAACAGTGTGTGCCAACCTTGTGAAGACTTACAGGAAACGTTTGACCTCTATCATTGCCAACAAAGGATACATAACAAAGTATTGAGATGAACTTTTGATATTGACCAAATACTTATTTTCCACCATAATTTGCAAATAAATTCATTCCAAATCAGCCAATGTGATTGTCTGGATTTTTTTTTCTCATTTTGTCTCTCATAGTTGAGGTCTACCTATGATGCCAATTACAGGCCTCTATCATCTTTTTAAGTGGGAGAACTTGCACAATTGGTGGCTGACAAAATACTTTATTGCCCCACTGTATCTTGTCTGATTCAAGACAGCTGCTGAACCTTACCATTTTTTTTTCATTTACTGGGTGCTGGTGTTTTTTCTTTTGCTTATAACAATAATCTAGAGTTTTTGTGTAACTATTGTGTAATTTTTTCAAGCTGCTTGATATAGGCCATTTTGGTCACTTTACTTAACCTAATGTACAAATCACATACACTATTCCCTGCAGGAGAACATGCAGAGCAATGCAAATTCTGTTACATATGTGAAAATGTGCAAATGATGCGCCTGCCTGTTTAAAATTTTCAAGAAAAGGTTAAGCCTTCCCACCAAGAGGGTCACTTAGTGCTTTACAATCCTTATGCCACATAAAAGCTGTGGGTTACTTTAAATTTCTACCCTTACGTGTGGTCAACTGTTATCCTTCTGGCCTCCTTTGCCATGCTCAACTGAAACAAAACTACCATCCCTGAAGTATACTTACCTAAATTGAATGGCTGGATCCATGGAAATCTTCAGAACCCCTGGCCAAACTCTTTTTTCCCCTGGCCACACCTGCTCAATTGATTTTTTATAGGCCTCTATGGGGCAGCCTTTCGATACAAGAAATGTTCAAGGAGTAGAGGCCCTTCTTGATAAAGTGGTCATTCTAGAGTCTGAAATGTTAGGGTGATCAGGACCCCACGGGAGTCTTTAAAGCCATTGTGCTACCTCTGTTATCACACTACTGGTACTGTTTCGTGTTTGTATACCTGCTGTCATTGTATAATCCAGTAGTTTAGTATGTTATTTCCACATTACCTTATACTGCTTTAATAGAATGATGTTAACTTGACATCTTCACTAGACATCACAGGATAGCACAGTGCTCTCCATAAAGGTGTCTGCTGCACTTCTGCATTAATTGGTATTCAGTTGAATCCTGTCCATACTGCAGAAGGATAATACAGCAGCAACAAATGATGAAGTTTAACAGCAGTTATATCACCCAAATGCTTAATATTTTTGTAGTTGGTGCCAGTATTCAATTCTATTACTATGTGGGATTGTCTGCCTTAACATACAAGTACTACGGAGATCAGATAAAGGCTGACCTTTCAAATAGCCCTGAGCTCACCTGTAGAAATAGTGACCTGAGAGAAATAATTATCTGAAAAGCCCCTCTACATCAGAAACTATATGAATATCTTTAAGAGCTTTGAATAAATACTTTTTCATATGTTCTTTTCCATCTACCTTTATGTTTAAATTTCTTGTGTGTAGCATTATGAGATACCAGCAGATGGCAACCTTGTTCTTTCCAAAATTATACAGTATGTTCTCCACACAGTTTCTGAAATCATTTGTAATGTAAGCAATGTGAATAATACAAGCTGCACTGCATGAGCTGGTTTTATATGAGTTTTTTTTTTTTAATTTGAGGTAAATGTAAATTATAATCTTAGAAAAAAATTCCAGAATAAGATACTGAGAATCGATGTAATACAAAACGTCTGCAGCCTTGCACATCAAATAATAATTTCTATCTAATATCCTCATTCTTGCGGTTTGAAGCAGCACCTAAATCAAAGTTTCAT